CTGATATGAGTGTTTTTTCTTGGTATGTGGTAATATTTACTGTGTTTGAGCTGTTGGGACTTGAGTAATACTACTTGTGGCCTCCTTTGATTGCTCTTAAATATGTGGGTAATGCAGTAAGAATTTTTGCATGCTCACTTTATGCAGTATATCAGCCATAAAGGTTAAAGACTAAACCAGTTTATACTCATTTTTAAGGGCAAATTTAACATAATATGCAGACTGTGACACAATGCAAATGAACTAACAACAATCCAGAGATATTTGCGTTTTCACCTCAGAGTTGGTAAATTATTGTGCATGTTCATCTGTACGGTGCATTTCATTAACTTTCATTTATTCATCTGTCTGTTATGTGTGTCGTCTGTCTGCACACACACACACACACACATGCTAGATGTCAACGAAAAGCTCTGAGGGTCCTTAGGGGAGCATCTTCAGAAACACACAGAGATAAGAGGTGTGCACAGACAAAAGAGTGAAATAAATCCAAACGCCAGTGACTGACATCGATGAAGTTGACTAACAAGGGTGACATTGACGGTCGGGTCCAGCTGCTGCCCTCCTTCCCTCCCTCCCTCATGTTTGACCCAGTTGATGTCAAAGCTGGGTTCAGTACAAAGGAGCCAGTGTGGAGCAGGAGAAAACACCATGCTATCTTTTTTTTTGAGAAACCCCTTATCCTATTTTTGCGTGCTATTTTATGCCCATGACAAACTGGACAACTGAATGTTAGAAAAAAACATTAATAATCTCACATAATTACATTATATAGCATTATATTTAAATTATTTACATTGAAACTAAACGTTCTATCATCGACTGAGGGAGCTACAGACAAACTGCTGTTTTACCAATATGGCCAGATAATCGTCCATACAATAATTGTCCGGTCCCCTCAATAATTAGAGGCGCTGATCTGTTGTTGAACAAAAACTCACTCCTCTCCAGAAAAAAAATAATATGTGGATTGGTAAATTGTTTGTTTTTACTTGTAGCCTTTTGTCTCTTAAAAACCCAGAGCCATACCAGATCAAGTAATTAGTATGTAGAAAGGATTAATGACATTAGCTTTGTTAAGCTGAAATTGAGGAGCAGAGAGGAATGATGCCTTTGAAATCTTTGAAAAAACCATGAAAGGGAGCGAGAGAGAAAGAGAGAGAAGAGAGCGAGAGAGAGAAAAGAGAAGAGAAGAGAAGCATTAATTAACCTCTGCACTTTATGTGAGTGTGGAGAATGGTTGTCAGCTTTGCTTGGGAGATGTGAAGTAGCAATGATGTTGACAATCAAAGGATGGGATTAGGTAAGAAGACAAGTTTTAGAGGCTCGCTAGCTCGGGTGACATGAAGACAAGCAAATTCATTCATTTATGAATAAACTATATCCCACCAAAGCTGATGCAGATGGCGATCACGGATGTGAGGAGCTCAGATGATGAATTATTGCATAACACTTAATAAGCCAGCCTAACATTCATTAGTTAATGCATGAACTGATTTTGAACTGCTATTACTCTCCAAGCTTTCAAGTAAGCCGCAAATGGCATTCGGATGCATATATCAATATATATTTTGCATGCAATCAGAAAGAAAATGGCACCTATATCATGATCAGCACCATGGACAGCAGTGACTACAGTGTGAGTGTAGTATATATCAATGCTTTGTATGTAACTGTGTGATATGGCACAATGCTCTATCTTTGAGTCATTTTTTAGAATTGTTTGCTGTGTGATGGATACACTCGCCAATGTTTACGCACTGAAAGTGGTAATGTGCATGTGTTTATACAGAGGAGGAGGGGGCCCTGTAAAAATATTTGCACCACCTCCTATCCCCGTTATGGTAATGTGCTCTATGTTATCTTGTGACAAAACGAACAAACAGGCATCAAACAAACAAACAAGCACTTGGAGGACAAAAACACGTCAGGCTCAGTCAGAAGTGAATTGAATGGTGATGACCTCCTGTGGTGAGCGTCTAAATTATTTGTTTTACCGCATGATGAAGTAAAGGGAGGACTGAGCTGTTCTCCAACAGGGTCTTTATTTACTTGCATGTTTGATTGTCTTTCATTATAATCTCAGACTCTGCTGGCTGCTTGTTTGAAGCCTGGGCACTGGGTTCCAATATTTTTAAAGATTAACCCTAAAACTGCAGCAGCAGTAAGAGGGGCAAGTAAAACATTAAGGACAGTTGCACAAAAAGGGCTCTAGTGTTGCTGGAGGTAGTTAAACATAAAATTATGATGAGCAAGTATGACGGAGAAACTAAGCGAGGTTTGGATAGTCAAGTAATTCTCAACACACCATAAGTTAAAAAAAAGTGTACCTTCACCTAGGTGGTGCATATCTCTGATGTCTAATAACCTTAAAGCAAGAATATGTAACTTTTGCTTCACAGCAGTCTCTGTGACCACAAGTGACAGCAATGATTCTTGGTATAACAGTAGCAAAACTCAGACTCCAGTTACACAGAATTATCTTGGAAAAGCTTACGTAAGCCACTGGAAACACTAGACCAAGTAAGGCAGAAGTAGTTAGACTCTTAAGGTATGGAACTGAACATTTGTAAGAGGACAAATGTATAATATCTTTTTTCAAAAGTTACATAGTCTTGCTTTAACCCAGACCCTAAACTAAACCTGACTCACCTCGTTTTATTCCCAAGATAAACTTGATTATATTTATGACATTAAAAGAATACTCTAATTTATCCTTGCACTCCTATTACATTCTCAGACTCACGATGGACAAATATCAAAATCGATAGTACAGCATAACCAGACATTGTCTTTTTATTCCATGAATTCTTCTTTGTTCTCAAAACCTGGTGCCTTCATTACCCACAAACACTGTGGTACAAAAATGAGTGACATGCCATTTTGTACCTTTATGTGGTAAAAACATACCGTTAAATCCAGAGACAAACCTCTTTTTTAACCTTTATTTATTCAGGGACAGTTCACTAAGAGGAAGCCACTCTTTTGCAGCAACATCCTGATTTGCACATTCGCATTGTGACACATTCAGACCTGGAAGCTGCCCAGTACAACCACAGCAGTTGGGGTTAAGGGCCTTGCTCAAGGGCACCTCAGTGGTGGTTATGAGGGAGGGGCTTGCTGCTTTTTCACTTTCCTCACCCAGATTTATCCTGTCAGTTCCGAAGCTCGTTTTTTCTAACCTTTAGGCCACCACTGCCCATTTACAATTATTCACCAAAATGTATTTAAAGAAATTACTATCTTTTAACACTTTTCAGTACCTTTTCATTGCTAGAACTGATTTGTCTGTAACAAATGAATGCTGTATTGGCCTGAATCTAGTTTTAAACTCTGTAAGCTTCAGCAGTGCCGACTACAAGTGCACTCGCCACGGGCACATGCCACAGCAGACTGCAGGGGGAAAACAGGTTGCACTACCCAACTCTGCAGGGGCTCCATAAGGGAGGACCACGGCATAAAATAAAGTTAAATAAGTACATAAAAACTAGTCCCCATGGAGGAATACAAAGAATATGAAAACAGATGACAATAAATGACAATAAAACAGTGTTAATACTTAAATTAAATAAAACTGGGAGTAATGGTGATGGCTAGTTGAAGCATTTCACTCTGCTACACTGACAATTAGCTACTTGATTAAATGAACAAAATCACTCAAATAGATCCATTGTGAACTTGCCAATACTTGCTGAAGAAGGGTGTCTTGCCTAAAACGTTGTGGCAAAATTAAAAAATTGAATGAAAGTGCTGCCCTAGTTCTTTGCTCATTAAATTATTCCCAGGCCACACAGACCAAGAATTGAAAGGAAATTTCCTGGTAGCCTATTTTATTTCAATAAACTCTTTCAATAAAATTTTTACTGTACCTTAAGCTTGTTAAAAGTACAATTATGTAACCCTTTCTGTCAGCCATGATTTTGTACCTTTAAAATTAAACAAAGGTCCACATTTATCACCTTAAGGACCTTTTTCGTACCTTACAGGGAACTTTTCTTTGTATGTACCTTTGGGTAAGAAATGATACCCATATTTCTCTGTGTGTAGTGGCTAATGTGGCCTTGAGCCGCTAGCCTCAAGCAGAAATGAGGAGCAGGATACAAAGGTCTGGTAAGTTCATTTCATTGCACACAATTATGAGTAGGCTATCCCTTTTAACTCTTTTAAGGACACATTGTATGCTGGTTACTTATTATACCTTCATTATCCATATAAAGAGGGATCAAATCTCAACTTTTGACAAGACTCATCTTTAGTTCCAAAAGTCTTTTAATAGTCTTCTCATTTAGATTAAACAACATTATGATAGGTTCAAAGAAATCAAATCTCAAAGCTTGATGTCCATCATGTCCATTCAGTAAAGAGTGACCCCTGGATATATCTTGGTATGCACGGGGTCCAAACCACTTGGAGAAGGAGCAATAATTTGTAAGTTCCATGAAACTCCTTTTAAAATGTGAATAATTGAGTTGGTATACATACAATTACAATGTAATTACACTTATCTTTCCGAAGACCTTACAGTATTCATAAACAAACAACAAATAAAATGTAGGTCTAAGTTTATTCTGTACAAAGAAGCCAAGCCAAAAGAACCATGAGTTGGTTTGAGTAGGAAAACACATTTTAAGCAATTATATTTTATAGTGAAGCAGAAGTTATATTCCTACAGTGTATTAAGCAAAATTATAGACACGTGAAACAAAAATATAGCTAGGATACTTAAATAGACTACAATAGATTACACAACACTACATATGCAAAACTGAACAGTTAATTTCAAACAATGGCTAATTTACAGTTTTGTAGTGCACTTCTCAGTACACACACCCACACACTCACACCCAATCTCTCTCTCTCTCACACACACACACACACACACACACACACAC